TTTTGCTTCTGAGGACATTGTGGTTGTAAAACCACATGCTAGTAGTCTGGCCCCGGTGTGATCAACCAGTTTCTGCGGGAATGTGACGGCGGAACCAGGGCCAGATTAACACTTTGTTGTACCCTGGGCAACAATATTCAAGGGCTCCATCATCATGACCCAAGGATCACCATAATGTGGTCACATACAGAATATTTTACTGTAATATGCAGTAAATATACTCAATACTTGAATGCCTGACAACACGTAACCCGCCCAGAGTAACCTTTGACCCACCTCGTGTGGACTGACCAATGAGGAGAGGGTCTTAACTTGAGGCCCTCTCTTCATTGGTCAGTCTGCATGAGACTGACTCTCAACTGACGTTCAGTCGTAGGCAGCGAAGCGTCTCTGTGCAGTGCAAAAGCCCGGGTGGACAGTTTGTTTAATGTAGGGTTACCATATTTCCATTTCCAAACAAGAGGACAGGGGATCTGTGCCTATGACGTCACACTATGGCAACGCCACACAAACCATGTTGGGACCCATTTTTTGTAAGAACTAAATTATTATCAGATTCTGCCAATTAAAGGGCTCTAAAACAATTCATATGTAAATATTTTGCATATTTAATGCAAAATCTAATTTTTCTGCTTTAGTGCTGCAACAAGGTTTTATTAATAATAAATTATTATACCTTTTGTTTTACTACAGCATCGGTAAGCTTCCTGTGCACAGATTATTAAGGATGCTTGTTTCAACTGTGAGATTAGACGATAGGATCAATGAAAAAATAAGTTGTCACAAACTCCATGGAAACTTTCAGAGAATCCACAAATAGTGGCTTTCAAATGGTTTTGTTACTTTTTGCAAGTTTTTAAAAGAAGCAGATGAGACAGCATGTCTGATAATTTAGTTTTTCATCTGATAATATTAGAGCATGTCAGTAATGTCTGAGGGGCTTTTATAAACACCGTATAACTAACAGTACTGGAGAGGGCATGAATTACACAGAGGCTTCTGGGGAGCCCAGTTATGGGGGGGGGGGGGCATTTTGCCTTGGCCCCCAAAATGTCTTGAAACGGCCCTGGGTGTGTGACTGAGTTTTGAAGGTGATCTGAATTGTATCAGATGTATAAATATGACATGTGTATAACTTATTGTTTTTTACTGGTAAAAACGTGTAGTGGAGATAAATCTACCTACATTTTACTTTTCAACACTTTGTTTTGTTTTCTTGTTTTTATTGAACTATTTTCCTGTCCTGTCTGTCTCTCATCTTCCTGCATCTCCTCTTAATTCTCCAGAAAATCTGTTGCCTGGATTCTTACCTTTTCACCTCATCAGTTACTTTTGAGCAGGTCAAAGGGATCTCCTGACCGAAAAGCGCAGAGCGCGTTTTCGATGCTGCGTGAGGTGACATCACCACAGCACAGGTGATGAGCTCCGCAGTAGCGCGCTTCAGGCACAAATAAGACAGAAAATAGAGAACATGTGCGGACATGAACGATCGTGTGCTAATTATAGTTTTTTGGTTGCGCCACTTTGAGAATGGACCGTGCGCTGGAAGCAGCTGCCTGGATCGCTGTGCAACAATGCGGAACCGGTTCGCAGCAGCTCAAGTCTGCCGGCTCTCCCTCACGCTGATCTGCGGCTCTCCCTCGCGCTGATCTGCCGGCTCTCCCTCGCGCTGATCTGCGGCTCTCCCTCGCGCTGATCTGCCGGCTCTCCCTCGCGCTGATCTGCGGCTCTCCCTCGCGCTGATCTGCGGCTCTCCCTCGCGCTGATCTGCGGCTCTCCCTCGCGCTGATCTGACTTGCTCTGGTCTGCGCGCAACGGCGGGCGGGAAGGGGGGGCGCTTTTGGAAGAGTTGTGCGACACAACGAATCGATGACGCAATTCGTTGCCAACGCTTTTAGTAATCGATTTTCATCGAATTTATCGATTCGTTGTTGCAGCCCTAATGCAGACAATAAGACTTTAACACCCCCCCCCCCCTTCCCCCAGTCAATTGACAAACTTCACCCATGTGCTCTGATACGTCAACATCAGCAGTTCAGCACCCACCAAGTTCCATGCCTCTTGGGCCCCTCTCCACACATAGGCAGTGTTTACATGCACATCTGAGTCGATCTACAGCTATAATCTGTCTGTTAGAAAACAAAAAGTAACTAAACCCCAAAACAAATTTTTTTGCTAATATCTGTATAATTGGGTCTTTACAAATGCAATTTTTCTGTTTCTGTGCATTTTTTGACATGTTTGTGCAAACTTGATTAAATCTATAATCTAGGTCTAAAAATGTCTTAGTGCTGCCCCCTGTGGCAGAACAGTGGCTACTGCATTTTAAACTTGTGATTGACTGGGGCTGGAACAATTTCACGTCATCGGTACAGTCTCCTCCCACTCCCCCTCGCTCCCAGGATTGAAATTCCCCACACTTGGCCATGCTACCCCCTGCCTCCTGGCAACACCGAATTTCATGGCATTTTTCAAATCTTTACTAAGGGTGGAGTTACATTTTCTGATGGTGTGCAGTCCCTCTTTAAGGAATTAAATATGTTCCACTCTGCTACAGTAGGTGGTACCACGCGCCCTTTCATGTCAGCATCCTTCAGGTTGTCTATAGCAGCATGAATACTAAACAAATGCTATTGGAAAGGAAGCAGATGGAGAGGAAGCACGTACATGCACAATGGCCAAAGGAATGGACATCAGCAGTGTAGTAAAGCCTATTTGATACGTACTGTATTGTTGCTGCTTTCTGATTGTCTAAAAATCCTACCAAGGACTAGGTTTGCAAATTAGCCTCTGGTTAGAAATCCTCAGCATTGCCCTTACATGCAACACTGCCTTTTGTTCAATCAAACCAAACTAAAACTAAAACACACTAACTGACCAATGAAGGGACAAAAATGAACAAAAAGACCAACACAATAACACCCAATGGTTGCTGTAATGGTTTATCAATGAATGAACTTTAATTGGTTCTGAAATGGTGTTATTGCCCAATTCTTCTTTAACTTTATTGAGACCAACAATCTGAACATCACTCAGCCTTTCATGGAGCATTGGGTGCTTCTTCAGCACTGGTCGATTCACTGAAAGGAGAGCTTTCTCGGTTTTCACGGGTCACTTCATCCGTCAAGTATCTTCACACAGGATTTTATTGGACACAATTCTTTTTTATTGGGGATGCATTTATATCCAGCTTAATTTAAAGAGATTAGGTTGCAGATTTATGGTGACTTCTTGTTCAGCTCAACCTGTAAGAGTAATTAACATCTACAATGTGCTGGCAGAAGTTTAAGGTTTTAAGGGCCTTCTTAAATCTGTAGCGGAAATCCACATTTTATATCCTCAGATTAACTTTGTTTGGATTCACACGAAGGAGAACATAACTATTTTCACAAAGTTTTTCCTCACATTTAGCAGAAGAAAAACAAAATGGGGAATTTGAAACTGGCCTGCAGTTTCAGCATTCTGGTTACCTCCTATGACTCTCTCCCAGGATCGGAAATTGCACCAATTTGACTGGCCTCCCTTCTGCGCCAATCAGGAGGCGCAAGAAATATCAGAAACTGGTCTGCTTTACATTAACTCATTACTCATTCCTCCACCTCACTCAGCATGGCTCTATTACATTCCCGCTCTGTTAACAATAAGTCTTTCCTGCTCAATGATATAATTCTCTCTAAAAACCTGGATTTTCTGTTTCTGACTTGGCAGCAAACATCTGATTATTCTGGTCTGATTGAATGTTGACCGAGTGGTTATTCATTTATAACCAGCCCCGGGGTTCTGGTCGTGGTGGAGGCCTAGCTGTTGTTTTCAGAGACCGTCTTCCATGTAGCTCTACAACCTCTGGTCACTTTGCTTCCTTTGAACTGCAGATGATTAAAGTCGGGCGTAAGGACCCGTTCTACTGTGCTGTGGTCTATCGTCCTCCTGGTCCAAACAGTTCTTTCCTTCAGGAGTTTAGTGACTTTCTGTCCTCCACTGTGAAGCTGTCCAGACTGAAGATTGTTGGTGACTTTAACATCCACGTTGATGATCCCTCTGATCACTTTGCCATGAATTTCTCCAGCCTTATGGACACCTTCGGCTTTACCCAGCATGTTTCTGGCCCCACACACACCAGGGGGCACACTCCAGACCTTGTTTTTACCCTGAGTCTAAACGCTGACAGTGGTTGTCCTGAGGACAATTTAAACTTGTGATTGACTGGGGCTGGAACAATTTCACGTCATCGGTACAGTCTCCTCCCACTCCCCCTCGCTCCCAGGATTGAAATTCCCCACACTTGGCCATGCTACCCCCTGCCTCCTGGCAACACCGAATTTCATGGCATTTTTCAAATCTTTACGCACGCACGCACGCACACACACACACACACACACACACACACACGCGCGCGCGCGCACGCACGCACGCACGCACACACATGCACGCACGCACGCACGCAAGCACACACACACACACACACACACACACACACACACAGGCACGCACGCACGCACGCACACACGCACACACACTGTCACTTTGCTCCCTTTTAGAAATTATTCCCCATTTTCCTGTAATTGTGGTGTCACCAAATTTCCACGTTATTACAGATCAGTTATTCCATATCACTGCCATAAAGCTTTGGGTTAACTACTGTCTTAATTCCATGCATGAAACGATAAGATGTGTTTGGTCCTTTTGTCCATGCCCTGATGTTTGTAATAAACTCACAAAAACATAAATAAAGCCTGATCATTTCTAGCAATCGAGAATAATTGGCGCATTCTGTCAAGAATTCATCCTTTAGAGTAACTTGTGGTGTTAACATTGAAACTGATTAATATGAGCAGATGTAGATAGTAAATCCAATGGTCCAGTTCCACAAAACTGGTGGCGCCCCGATTAATTAATATGAGGTTATAAACAACTAAACAAGCTAAAGCTTTGCCACGTTTGAAATATAGATGTAAATCTATATTTTTTGCTACAAATCTTTGCGTGTTGCAGGGACTCACCTCAGTGAGTCAGGGGGGACCTTCATGGAGGCCAGGCTGACTTGGGTCAGGCTAAACGCTGAGCTAAAGAACTGACGGAAGGAGGGCAGAGAGTCTCTCGCTTTTCTGGAAAAGAGCAAAGGAGAACAGAATAGAGATATGTTAAAACTCAAGCGTGACGGATCACACTCTGGCAGGCACGAACAAGAGCTGATAAAAGATTGCACGAGAAAAGAGAGCATGGCATATAATTTGCAGGAGAGCTGACAGAGTGAGAGAATGAAGGGAACTGGAGTTTAGAATGAAGCTGGCAGATGCTAGCTGAGACATTCAGTTCAGGACTACATGGACCAGACACCATCAAGTACCCAGGTTGGCATTTATTCCTGCTATCACCTAAAAGGTAACAATAACAAATCATCCACCCATCTGCTTGACAAACACAGTGAATCAGTTTGTCCTCAGGGGGAAGGATGAAGAACGTGTGCATGAATGTTCAATATTCCTCTGAGTCAGAGCAAGGACCATGCTGCATTCACAGGACAGGCGCAGCACGCCGCATCAGATGCGTTTAGCACTCGTCACAGCAGCCAATCTGCCACTTCAGCTCCCCACTGTACTAACCATTTTCTGCAGTGGTGGACATGGAAAAGAGCCTGGAGAATACAGGATGAAGCGATGAGTGACAGGGACCAAACAGAGAGTGGAGAGGTAGGAGGAATTCATCTGGCTGAAAGAGGTGTGTTTACAGGAAACTATTACCTGCTTCCTCTTCTCAGGCAGCTGTCTATTTGAACTCATACAGCGTGAAAGTCCTTTAGACAGCTGCAGTTCTTCATCGGATGAATATTATGTTTATAGTTAATGATAAAGGTGGAATAATCACAATGAACAATGATTCTGCAGAAAACTGATCACCTGCCCTTTAGGCATCAGGTCTGTAATATGAGGCGGATCATCACAGGGAAAGCTGCTCTCCTCTCTGACTGCTGACACAATTTTTCTTCATGTGTTTGGCACAGCTGCTTCATGGATATGAGGGCAGTAATGTAACTGCTTGGGAATATAATATCTAATCACTCAGCTAATCCAATTTCTGGTCCACTCCAAACTCCTTCTGCCCTGAGTACCAGTCACCTGTTTGTGACCTAGTGCTGTTTCAGCCATTTTGATTCTGTATAAACGTTTTAAATAACTACATAAGGTCTACGTGTGAACATTTAGAGTTTGGGATGAGGAGTTTGCTACTTTAATACTCATGAGAATACTTAGAGGCATCCTTGTAACTGCAAGCCTATTGCCATCAGGTAAAATGATGAAAGTCACAGCAACACTAAAGAGTTTTTAACTCTAAAAGCTGTTGCTTTCAAACTGGTTTCAGTGGTTCCTGCGCCAGAAACGTCTGCTGACCAGAATCTGCACATAACAGTTCTCTGGTTCGGGTAGGATAACCAGAGGGAGGTCTCTACCCGCCTTACAACATTAGCCGTTTACCTGTTTGGTGAAACAGTTTGAGTTCTACAGAAGTGGTGCTGTATTTAATCTGAGTGCTGACAAGACCAGGTCCATGCTCCAAAGATTGGCTTCTGCATAACTACACATGATTATCTCTTTTATTTTGACATTATTTATTAGCAAATGTGATCATGAAGATCACATTGTAGAACTTCTGGTGCATCTAGGTGTGGAGTTTAGCATTACCTTCTTAATATTTCTAACAGGACAATCGTATTATACAAAACTGACAGGAGAGCTGCTGACAATGTTTTAAAAGAACATCAAGTGTAACACTTTGGATTTCTGAGTTGTTAAAATGACAGCAATCCACTTAGGTACAGTCAGACTAATCATTAGCTCAGTGATGCTGTAGAAGTAAAACTATTTATCCTTATAGAAGCTATTCAGGACGCTTATCTACAGTAGATATCATAACTCAAAATTCATAACGACTTTAAAAATATGTGGCAAATAATTTTAATGGAATATTATCAGTTCAAATCTGTTAACCTGTTAAATGAAAATAAGTAGTAATAAGTAGATTAGAAGCCAACATAGATAGTTTGTTACACATTTATGTGCACATACACACACGCAGGCACACATGCATGTGCTTGTGCACACATGCATGCGCACACACACACATGCATGCACACACATACACACACGCAGGCACACATGCATGTGCTTGTGCACACATGCATGCGCACACACACACATGCATGCAAACACATACACACACGCAGGCACACATGCATGTGCTTGTGCACACATGCATGCGCACAAACACACATGCATGCACACACACACACACGCATGCGTACAAACTCATGCACACACAAATGCATGCGCACACACATGTATGTGCACATGCACACATGCATGCGCGCACACACATGCTTACAAACTCATGCACACACAAATGCATGCGCGCACACACATGCTTACAAACTCATGCACACACACATGCATGCGCGCACACACATGCTTACAAACTCATGCACATGCACACATGCATGCGCGCACACACATGTATGTGCACATGCACACATGCATGCGCGCACACACATGTATGTGCACATGCACACATGCATGCGCGCACACACATGTATGTTCACATGCACACATGCATGCGCGCACACACATGTATGTTCACATGCACACATGCATGCACGCACACACATGCGTACAAACTCATGCACACACAAATGCATGCGCGCACCACACATGCTTACAAACTCATGCACACACACATGCATGCGCGCACACACATGCTTACAAACTCATGCACATGCACACATGCATGCGCGCACACACATGTATGTGCACATGCACACATGCATGCGCGCACACACATGTATGTGCACATGCACACATGCATGCGCGCACACACATGCGTACAAACTCATGCACACACAAATGCATTCTCTCTCTCTCTCTCTCTCTCTCTCTCTCTCTCTCTCTCTCTCTCTCTCTCTCTCTCTCTCTCTCTCTCTCTCTCTCTCTCTCTCTCTCTCTCTCTCTCTCTCTCTCTCTCTCTCTCTCTCTCTCTCTCTCTCTCTCTCTCTCTCTCTCTCTCTCTCTCTCTCTCTCTCTCTCTCTCTCTCTCTCTCTCTCTCTCTCTCTCTCTCTCTCTCTCTCTCTCTCTCTCTCTCTCTCTCTCTCTCTCTCTCTCTCTCTCTCTCTCTCTCTCTCTCTCACTCACTCACTCACTCACGCAATATGCTGAGCAGGGAGGCTCCTGGGCTCCTGTGGGACATGACATGATGAGAGCCAGAACCCCACTTTGCCTTCCAGCTAGGTACACACACACACACACACACACACACACACACACACACACACACACACACACACACACACACACACACACACACACACACACACACACACACACACACACACACACAGACGCACAAAAAAGAAAAGATAAGAAAAAATCTGTGGGCATGCAAACAAGCACTTGACAGAGAGAAAACTTGTTAGCAAACAGACATGTGCACACACGGAAGAAGCAGCAACACATTCTGCACACACATATGCAGGAAGACAGAACAAATGAAGGATGTGAGGTGGAAAATACGCTAATTCTGTCAGCGTGGTCTTGGGCTAAACACTAATCCACAGGATAGAAAATACCCTAATGATGGTAATCACTCCCCTTCATGACTCCAGGCTGGAAGTGCTCCACAGCTGTATAAAACAGACATCTGACGAATGCCTACCTGTGAGAGAAGGAGTTCTTGGACAGATTCAAGTAGGAGAGGTCAGCACAGCACCCCCGCAGCAAAGCCCCAAACAGCTGGCGGAGACAGAGAGAAGAGTTTACTCACTACTGCTACATGATCATGTTTTATTATAGAATAAAAGTTGGTTTGATTAAAGCTTAATTCAAATTTTTGCTAATGGACACACATAAAATCATTATTTCATCTTCAGCAGTGGGTGATAACTGACAGGAACACAGGGAGCTGGGATAAGTGGAAGAGGGTCCAGTAGGACCAGCACACTGGTGCAAGCGGTTTATCAAGCTTAAGCCCATGTGCACGGATCAGTGGAACAGAACGGATGCAGCCCGGTTTCCATAAGGCTTCCGGACAGACTACCATTCAGACACCGTCTGCAGATGTTGTCAAAAAACCTCTGGAAATTCACTCCTGCAAGAGCACCAAGTGCTTGGAAATGTGACATAATTAAATTATAATAATTTGTTTAAAAACAAGGTGACCTATCATGCACTGTGACCTGATATCATTAATATGGAGTTAAGTAAAACAATAAGCCAGAATAACTGACTATTGAAATATACCAGATGCACCTGGCTGACCCATATCTCACTTCCTGTCTGGCTCAGGTCATTTCTTTAACTTCAGCAAACTCAGTATGGGGTGACCCGGAAAAATAGCCCAGAAGAATCTTTCCAGAGCTCTACAGATGGTGTAAATACTCTGACTGGACTCACAGATTTGAGGTCTTCGCAGTAGCCGTACGGAAACTGGACCGCTTCCGATCCATACTCTGTGTAAATGAGTCACCCGTGTGTCATTTATACAGTTTAGCTTTCTTTTACATATAATCACTTCCACACAATTAAAATTTAAAGGCAGAACATGACAAAATGCTGAGATTGATGCAGAAACCAACAGAAAACATTACAGATTCAACTACAAATAAATGACATCACACCTACATACAAAAACCTTTATTGTTGATTCTCATTTCTATAATCTGACTTCTGTTTTCAGCCATGTTCAGGATCTTTACTGGTGTCGTTGTGACTGGGTACAGCTTTTCCACTTCAGTCTAAAAGCTTCAAATCAGGTTTTGAAGACAGTTTAATTGCTTTAGAACTTTAAAACAAATTTTGGACACCTTCATACCGCTCACTAATCAAACCCACGTTCACCATGAGCAGCTGTTTAAATGAAGGACACATACTCAGGCCGTTGACTTATTCTCACTAATTATTTCAGCACTTTTTTTCCACTAAAGGGTTAAAGCCTGCAGGCCCCCCACCAATCTGTCTGAGTGTGTATGGAAAGCGCTCGTCTGTCAGATGAGTCCACTAATTCCCGACAGCGGGACCAAATGGGCAATAAGAGGTGTAATTGTATTGCACTGAATCAAAGTCAAACTGAGCGGGCAGAGGGAAAAAATTAATTACATCACTCACTTTCACTGTGTTATCCTGCATATTCATCAAATATCAAGTTTCACATTAAAAAGTGGAGAAAGTCTCACAGAAGACTGCATTAAGTATGCTTAGCCACGCTTATGTGATCAATGGAACATCGAGCAGCCATCTAACATCCATCTGTGGGCACAGCGAGCACTCCTCTGGTGGAGATATGGAAAACTTTAAAGGGATTATTAAACTAGTAGTTTTAAATTTCCTAAAATAAATGACAAATGAAAAAATCTGCAATCTTTAAGCACCAGTGAGAGATCATGCCGTCCGACAGAAAGACCCTTCGCTCAGATCAACCATCTGTGTAGATGAAAAACCAGAAACGTATCAATAATTCACAATAACACTACAGGAGACGATCGCCCTAAGGATAAATGAAAAAACACCACGACTCTATGCATGTGATGGAGAATCGAAGGTGAGCGGGTTCTGTCGAAAACCAGATAAAAAACAAAATGTTTGTTTCACATTAAACTCTGGTTAGTTTCATAAGGTGGGACATATTTCTAAAGAATGTTTTAATGCTTGACCATCTGTTTGCTAATGGGTGAGAACTCTGCTCAGATTTACACCAAAACAAATAAATAACTCAAAAGAATCCAGAGCGACAACAAAACCATAAAACTTTTTCTTACAAACAATTACAAAAATGTGAAAGAAAAGCCAGGCGCTCAGCAAAAATTTGTCTTAAAGGGGAACTAGCACCCCCTAGTGTCCATTTGTAGAACCGAAAGCAAAACGCATCTCCTTGCTGTACGTTTGTCTTTTTAACACCTTAATCGAACAGCTGAAATTTATTTATTTTATTTATTTTGCCTTTATTCAACCAGGATGGTCCCACTGAGATACACGATCTCTTTTGCAAGGGTGTCCTGGCCAAGACAGACAGAGCAGCAGCACAAGTTACAACATTAATACATTCACATTTAAATACATTTCCACATAAACTCAATTAAAACATGAACACACTGATAGTCTGGAATCCAATGACCTCATCAGAGTCTAAAATCTACTCAAAGAAGCCAAATCCTTGATTTTTAGATCTTTCTGTGGTGAATCCCATGTAGATGGAGCAGCAAAGCTAAAAGCCGTCGTTCCCAGCTCTGTGCGAAGCTTAGGAACAACAAATTGCAAAAGTTCACTTGAGCGCAGGCTGAGCTGATTCTGCTTTCTTGATAAAAAAAACATGATGAATAAAAAGGCAAATATCCACATACAGCTTTATAAATAGAAACATACCAATGCATGAGTCGACGTACCCGCCACGAAGACCAATTCACTTTTGAATATAACAAACAATGATGAGTAAGAGGCTGACAGAAATGTCTCCCCAGCCTTCATTAGTGTCTACAGGAGTGATTCATCACTAAAAAAAATCAGTTGTGTTCATGAGCTAAAACATGCAGGAAATGTGCTGGAACCAGACTGCAGCGCCAGCTATGTCAGGTCCATTTTTGTAAGTCCCAACCAAGCAGCCCGCTATTCTGAAGTTGCAAGTGGAACGTTCTGGCCACAGGGGGTGATAGGGGCTGGACAGCCTTTCATTAACCCTGGAAAGGGCCATTTTAGCACATACTGGCTCCAGAAAATGATTTTTAAAGTGAAAAAGTTGCAAAGCATCCCGTTAACTACGACTAAAATAAGGGAATGGGCCATTTGTCTGCTCCCTGCAGTTTCCCTAGTTTCCCTTTAAAGTCTCAATTCTGAAGCAGGAAAATAAACTTTTGCTGACAGCAATCACTCTCATGTCGCTTTTTCACTCTTTCTTTTAACATTTCAAGCTGAAAATTTTCTGGGAACAAGTGTACAGAAATAAGAAATGAGGTTGGCTACTGCATTGGAAATTGGAAAGTGGAGTCAATAATTAACAGATCTGATCTGAAACAAAGGATCAGTTTAAATGACAGAAATATAAAAAATATGCTGAAATGAAAATAGGCACTGACCTATTTCCAGAAAGAATCAAAAATGCACCAAGAACGTCTCAAATACCAAATAAATGACAGTTTGAGGGTTGGGGGATGTGGCACCTTGATGGTGCCGGGTAAAAGGAAGCATTAGGAAAGTGCCCTACTGAAGAGTCGATGAGCAGGAACGAAGTTCAGAGTACATTTGTGGATTTGTAGCTGACAGTGATCTCCAACCCCCCTGCCATGACGGGAGCTTAAAGGAGGAAATCTGTCTGCTCTAACCCACCTCCATGTTTCCTCGTGTGCTTTTATACGTCGGCATCAAAACAGAAATGACATTTCAGACGCAACTAAATGCCAACTAACAAATACAGATATCATTCTTCATAAAGCACTGCGTCATCTACAAAAACCCTAACCCTAAAGATGCTGACACCGATCTGGTACAGCCGGAGTAAAAAGAAGCAAATTCTCAGGCTCAAAAATGTTCATTCATCTCCTCACAGCTGTTGGGATACCTGCAGATGGGCCCAGAGATTGTTTTATCAGTCTGGCACCGATACTTGTTACATTTATCAACACTTCGACACTGGTATGAAACAATACTAATTTATGCAATCATCCCAGACATCTGGGTAATTCACAGGTTTCTGTTGTAGCGCCTCCTTAGAGTTTAGGCTCTGAAAACGGGACAGTTCAGTAAATGAGTCCACTGAGGTTTTTGGTTGAAGCGATATTCACATTCAAAACCGTTTCTGTGTCTTGGCCTGAATCCATCCTGGGGATGGGATCAGACAGTGACGGGCGGATAGGGACCATGAAAGAGACAGGAAGTACAAACCGAGTCCACTGTGCAGTCGGTCCCAGACAGGTCCAAATGAACCAGGCAGTTGGGCTGGGCCAAAAACAGGTACAGGTTCTACATGAAAAACCACAAAGAGGAAATGATTCAGCCTAAGGTCGGGTGAAAATCATAAAACACCCTTTCATACATTTAGACACAGTGCTGTATAAAAAAACAATTACCCTGTTGGAATTTTTATTCACAATTGAGCACAAAATGCAATTTTAAAATAATGATTTCATTTGAAATAAAGGAAAAGACTAAAAACCAACCTGGTCTTCTTTTAAATGAAATCATTTACCTCAAAACTTAATGAAGTGTAACGTTCTAATTAGCAACAGCGGTGATACTTGGTGTCTCACAAGTTCAGTATTGTTTTAATTCAGCCACATCAGAGGTATGTCCTGCATAAGCAGCCTGCTTAAGGTCAGAGGTCAGATATTCTCCTCCAGGTCTTTGTTTCCATTAGTTACAGCAACTAGCCCATCATACTACCACCTCGTTACGGCCACTGCCTATGTGCCCCAGTTGCTGCTGCTTCCTCCTGCTTACAGGACCATGGACAGCTCTGCTTTGGGTTAGCACTAAGGAAATCAGAACCACGGACAGCTCCACACTAGAGGAGCCCTGCACAGCTGTGCTGCATCGCCCTGATTGGTGCGGAAGAGCAGCACCTTATAAAAGAGAGCAGATGGCCCCGTACACTGGGGGTGGGTGATGACAGAGATCTGTGCTGTAGTCGCTCTTCCCCTAATTTGCTGTTTCTGTCGTATGTTCAGAGGAACTAGAAAGTCTAAAATATGCTTTAAATGTGTTGAACACTCATTTCATCAATACCTTTTGCAGTAGTCTTTAGTAGGAACGGATGCCTTGTAAGCTGTTCTCGGGGGGGAATGCAGATGCACCATTTCAAGGAACTAGAAGTGAGCCACATCACAGGCCCTATCCCAACCCTCGCACTGTGCCCTACAGTCTTCTGTGAAGTGCACTTGGAGGAAGTGCACGATAAGGCTTAGAGTGCATGGGACACAAGTGTGGAAATAATTGCCGAACTGGGACAGGGAGTGTTGCGTCATCGGCCGTAACAAATGCCGGGATGCTGGTCGCTGTGCTACTTTTATTTATAAACATTAATTAACAACTTTCAAACAAATAACCAAACAATAATCTGAAATAAATGTACGTTTGTTGCTGCTTTGCCTAAAACATTCAGAGCATCAACTAATCATCCTAAAATGAACTACTTTCATTTGAAAATACATATTTTCAGAAAAGGCGCTTGTGCCGTTTCTCCCACAGCAATGGATTGTGTTTAATCACACTTCACCCAAGTCCCCATTGGTGCAGACTTGGGTGAAGTGCAAATCAAGGGTGCAAAAGGGGTGTGATCAACCTCTGCACTTGAGAATCGGGACACCCTATGCCAAGGCTATTCAATTCTGTGCCTTGAGGGCTGGTATCCAGCATGTTTTAGTGGTTTCTCTGGTCCAACACACAAGACTCAGTGGCTGAATCACCTGTGCAGCAGCTCAAAAGGATATGCAGAAGCCTCTTAATTGCCTGCTATTTACAATCAGGTGTGTTGAAGCAGGATTAAAACCAAAACGTGCTGGACACCGGCCCCCAGGGCCCGGAAATGAACAGCCCTCCCCTATGCACTGGCACCCCTGGTCGGGATTGCACAATTGAGGGGAGCAAGTTTATAAGTGCGAGTATTGGGATTGGACCACAGCTGAGCTTCAGACAACAGGTTTTGGAGTCTAATTTCCTGATACCCCCCACCCACCCCCCACCACACCCCCCAAGTGGATAACAGCAACGCACCTCTACCATTGACTTGCAATATGGACATTTTATCTCCACAATTAACACAAGCCTGACGGAGTCATGCTCTGTTGTGGAAATGCTAATGCTAACGTTCTCTTCTGTTTCATGGCTGCTAAACCAACAACAGCCTTCCCCATCGTGAATCCATGAATGATATTTTTAGTCTGACGTAGATCTGAGATCTTTGCTAATCTACGTGTTTTCCACGCCTTCTATTAGAGGCTAATGCAGGAAATATTCTTACTGTTGAATCATGACCTCTGACCTTTACTCAGACCAAGTGAAGTATGTGGCGCTTTGCATGTTTTCATTAGAACAAGGCAAATGCATTGCTTTTTGAGATCTTTTAGCCTAGTTCTTGTTGTCAGACATGTTCTACTGAAGTGGTTTCTTAACTTTAGAGAAATAATAATAAAGTCTAAATCTGACCTCAGCTTTTCAAATTACGTGGTTAATCTGGTTTAAACTTACATAGGTTATCTCTGTGATCCTGACATTTGTTTGCTAATCTGAAACATTCAGGTTTGGCATGAAAGCACAATCATAAAGCCTCTCTAAAGGGCCAGGTATGCTTCACAGCTCTGCAGATTGATTCTTGACTGTTTTTATCCCAGGAGAGGAATTGGTTTTTGTTGTAAAGGAAACTTAATATAGAAAATTCTGCTTTGGTGCAACAAGTTGTAGCAAGGATAAAAGCTGTAAAACGCAATGTAAAACAGGAGAGTGGATGAGCTGGAAGTAGACCAGCAGAGATGTCAACCAGGAGACCGGAGGCAACTCCAGCAAAGCCGAGCCTCAGAGGATGAGTCTGAAAACAGGCACCAGAAAGTGGATGGAGTTGCCTTTCATGGTTCTGCAGTTCACCAGAAGGTAGTGCATGTGGGAGAAAAAGGTAGGAAGAAGTTCCTCTGGTACGATGGAAACTAAAAAGAGGATTTTAGGCTGAATCAGACGCAGGCGTTCTGTTCTCTGTGTTACCTGGCAACGCCTGAGCAGTTTCACATCACATGGTGAATAGCTCCGCAGATGTGTTTTATCAAGAGTATTAACAGATGTTTTTCTCTTTTATTAAGAGCTGTGGGAATTAAAAGATTCTCAGCCAGCTCCCGCTCCGGTATCAGAGAAACTAAATAAACTACATGATTTCAGAAAAGCTCAGAGGGAACTTCAGCCACTATGTGTTTTTCTCATGTGATTGTTTAACATATTGATTTAACTGCTACTTCTTCACAAGCACTTTATAATGTTTTAACGGCTTCTTAAGTTTAACACTTTCCTCCCCGTGCCATTTAGATTCCAAACATGTGAAGGGCCACTCACTGTGGCATCCTCTCCGGACAGAACTCCTGGGTTTTTGCTTAGATCCAGATGCAGCAGAGAGTTGGAGTAGTCGTCACTTGAGCACAGAGCCTGGGACAAAGACACAACACCTAATGGAGAGGGAAAAGAAACGGGCCATGAGAACTGATGATCTGATCATCATCACGACTTGATTTCAGAGGGCCAGTTTAATGCACGACCTTTGAGCAGCTACCGAAGATAAAACAGAGTAATGGAAGACCCTCTTAGCTTATGTGGCTCATATAAAAAGCAGAAAAAAGCAAAAAAAATAAATAAATAAGTAAAAAACCTTTTCCTCTTTTATCACAGTTTCCCAGTGTACCCTGAAACCTTAACAAAGATGTTTCTCTCAAATCAGATCACAACACTATTAAAGCCCACAGGCCCAATGGAAGCCCTTTCATTAAATTCTTCACCCGGCTGCAACTCTGACGACAAACACAGCGCTCAGTGGCAAACGCGGAATAAAATATAAAATAACAGCACAGGAGAGAAGGCTTTAGCGGGGGTGGGGTGGGGGGGTGGATTCTGCAGCTTTGAAGTAAATATGTAGAAGAAGACATCCATTGTTACTCAAAAGCAGGAAAGGCAATAAGCTCCTAATCCCCTAATTTGTAGCGATTAGGAGGGTAAAATGAGAGAGGGAGAGGGGACAGGGTGTCTAATCCGCCTTCCGTTTATGCATCAGATGAGTGCTTCTGCTGCTACTGGCGACTTTTGAAAACCATCAAGATGACCCATCTGTTTATAGCACAAGAGTGTGAGGTTCTGCTGGCTCACATGTAGGTGTGTTATTGTTTAGAGACAGACGGAAGGGAGAGGAAGAGGAGGAAATGGAGAGAGATCTATAAATGTTCAGCAAAACATGGTCAGCTTGTGGAGAGCTGTACACACACACACACTCACACACGAGTCAAGGTCAGCATCACATCCTGCTGAATCATCACGTCGACCCACGGGCTTTAAACACCACATCACCTCACATTTGTAACGTGCACCATCTGGTTACAGGTCAGTGTGTGACATGTGTGACACGTATAGGTTTAAGCTGCATTCAACATGCCAATGAAAAAGCCTTTTGTGTGGGAGAGTGAAAAATACAATTCATTTTTCAGCAGGGGCGTGTCCAGGGAGTGGCCTGGGGTAGCACATGCCACCCTTAGAATCTGATTGGCCACCCCAGGTGCCACCCTACTAAGTTCCAGTTTAAATTGACTTTACATTGTCGACAAAAGGCTTGAGTTGTAAACTCCAATAATAGTGTGTGGTAGCATGCACCTTTAACATTGTCTTCTAGCCCAGGCATACAGAACATTTCTGTAGTGTTAATATTATTTATTATTTTTTCATATTCACACAAATAGTATTTAGAGTCCCACTCAACTCCAGTTGGTGGTAATAATGCAACAAGAAGTGACTTGCTTACCACCACAAAACTAGAAGATGAATAGAAAAAAATGGTGATTGTGCAATGCGAAACTCCAAAATTCACTAGAAAGTAAATAACTAAATAAACGATTTGTGTAAATAAATAAATTAGCATAACCATTGGTGCCACCCATGCATAAACAAGTGCCCCACATGGGCCACCCCATTTTAAAAGTCCTGGACACTACTCTGTTTTTCATTAAACTGAGCCATGAGAAATGAAAGCAATTGTCTGTTTTTTTTTAAAAAGCACATGATTTATGGGTCGGGGTAAAATTCTAATTTCAATTTAGTTGGTTTGGAGCATTTATGTTCACCAAAACTTAGGAAAACAAAAACATCAGAGAAGCGAGAAGTGCTGGCCGTTTGCGAAGGGAAAAAAATCTATTTTTAAACTATTTCATTTCTAAAAGTAAGAAAGACTTTTCCCAAGTGGAAATGTTGGAGACAGCCGCCAATCTTTGGAGAAGATGTCCCAGAAAAGTCTTCCGATTTTTTCCTCATTTTTAAATTCTTCATGGAAATTAACAAAAGGGAAGTAAAAATAAATAAATAAAAACAGAAAGACACTCAACAGAGGTCCAGAATCATTGGGTCATGTGGGTGTCTAACGCTTTTGATTGTATCATTTATCTTACAGTGCAAAAATAAACATAAATACACATGCCCATCTACTGGATTTCATTCATTTATTCATTTTTCAACCACTTAATCCTGAGTAAGGTTGCATGGAGCTACAGCAGTGTTGGAGGAGGGGCAGAGGACACCCTGGACAGGTCACCAGTCCATTACAGGGACACTCAGAGACAAACAACAAACAAGGCAGACGACCCGTCTTTAAAACCCAAACGCAACACCAAACGAGTCCAGAGATCTCACACACTCACTACACCAACAGCGGTTTAGCTGTCTGTCGAGCTTTAAGATATGAACGGGGTAGACCACTGGGGCAAACAGTTGACCGGCACGTCCAAGAAGAAAGGAAATCTGGAACTTTCCTTAATGCTGAAGACATTCAGATGTGAGACAGATTCCCTTTGATGGCTGGAAAGCTCGACTTCTAAAGTAACAACAAATCAAGATATCACAACTGCATGACATCAATGGTTTTAATGGGCTAATAGTGCGTTTAGTTTTTTTATTCATAAAAAAATCCTGATAAATGAAATGGGCAGAGATCATTGATGGTATAACCCATTAGGGGCATTTTAAAGCTGAGTTGAATTTCCACACAAAAGGCAGAACTCTGAGGAAAGAGTTGACATTCGGCTTTAAGAATAACAGTTTAATTTTGCTGTTTTATTATCATTGGTGGTGTAATTTAGGTTAAGGTGAGCTTTGACTGAAAAATAAACACAACGGAAACACCTTTATCCTATAAAGTTGTATATTAGAGAGAAATAATAAAACTTTAAACTGACATAACTTTGCAGTTTTTTTAATAATATATTTTTGATAAAAGTATTTTTGCTTCAAACAAATAGATAAAGTACAGGGAGAGTAGGTGGATGACAACAAACAAACAAATTATTTAATTACTTAATTAATTATTTAAATAAATAATGATCCCAGTGGCCTTAGTTCTTGAGTAACAAAAAAAAAGTGTTAAACAATTTCAGAAAAGCATCAAACGTTAAAACTACTTATTCAAAACGCCTGCAGAAAGCTGAATTAGAAAATATCTGTAATAAATAAATGAAGTTTGTGTTCCAGTTAAGAAATAAACTGGGGTTTTTTTTGTTTGTTTTAAAGTAAACTATACATTTGTGCATGAATGTGTTTGTTACATCAGTGATCCTTGATGCCACCTCTGGTTCAGATTCTGTTAGTGGAGATAAAAACAACTGGGACACTGTTTAAAATCTCATATAAGCATCGGGGAAAATATATTCTGTCGTGATTATCATTTTGCAGATGGATCACACAGCACACTCATCATCAGTCTGTTTATCTGTGTGAGTAAATCCAGATGTATCTGGGGCAGTGGGGCAGGATCGTCACAGAAAGCTGAACAGAACAACCAGGGTCCAAATCCAGAGAGCTTCCCCTTGACGGTCCGGATTAAAATACACCCTTTGGGCTTGTTAAGTACCAACATTTACAGTTTTTGGGAAACGCTCCCTTGTTGTTGTGCACAAGGCCAGCCACAAGGGGTCACTGTGATTTAGAGGAGCTGACCTTTGGAGGAGAGGGAGGTCTTGGAGAGGTTGAGGAGGCGCAGACCTTTGTTGAGGCGGCAGACCTGTTGGATCAGGTTAGAGACGCCTATAAAAGATAAGAAAGAGACGCAACAGAAAAGACTAACGGTCAATAAAAGAAGCAATAAACACACACATACACACACACACACACACACACACACACACACAAGATAAATTAACCAATAAAACATTAAAGCATTATAAATACATGATTAATGATGTTTTCATTATTAAAGTGGAAATCTATCTACACACCTGGTCCTGGGTGAAACAGTATTACAGTCTCTAAATGTTAATAACATCATTTGGAAATTGAGTTCAGTTACACCAGCCAAACCCATCCTGATGAGTAACAGACCTGTAGAATTAGGAAATCACCTCAATCCAACCTGTCTGACAACATGAAATTGACTAAAAGATCTCACAAAGCAAAACAATCACACCAGGAAGCCCAGAACAACTGCAGGTCAGAGGTCAGGATTCAACATGTCTAGCTTCTAAGGGAGAGTTCTAAGGCCAAAATGTCAACTGACCTAAGAGAAGTGTGAGACACATCTCACGTATGTCAAAAAGAATCTTGAAGATCGTCGAGTTTCTCAACACCTTCAACATGAGCCGTTTCAGGGCTCTGTCACTTTAAGAAAACAAGCTGGAGTTGGCCACACCCACCCCTCCCTAATCAGGCTGCTATAAGCGGAGAAGCTCTGACATCCGCGAGGATATGCCTCCAGCAGCAGCTCTCTTTTGCATGTGAGAGGTGGTTCTATTCTACTCACCGTGTTTATGACATCACAAACGGGGAGTTTTTGAAACAACTCATTTCAGGCACATAGATCCAAAAACCAAGTACCTACAGGAAATGGATGGATGTTTTTATTTATTTTTTTTCATGTTAGGAGTGTTTTTAAAGGCAGCGGAGATCTATGGCAGCGTAAAACGATGCAAAAGGTTAGTTTTGCAAAATATGTTCCCCTTAAACTGACTGCTGAGGTAAATAAAACCTCCAATGTAGCTAAAGTAAAATAATTATGTCAAGAAAAATTAAGACAATTAATTCAAACTTGCTGCGAGCGGTTTATTATCAGTTGTCACTAGCTACTGAGTTCAGGAAACAGTTATTTTATCACATTGGTCCAGGCTGGTCTAGCTTGATATTTAAAAAAACGATAATATTTATTTACTCAGATTACATTTGATACTGAAACACGTTTGCAGACCTGAAACCTTTGAGTGACTGTTTGTGTTCATGACCAAACATCAAACTTTAAAAAAAATACACAGACTTCTGCTCTTGAAATCTACTACATTCAATATAATAATCACATCCTGCCAAATTACAATCTCACTTTCTCCCACATGCACAGATGGAAGTGACATCACCAGATGATGACATATGCAACGCCAGATCATGCAACACAAACTTTCATTTCTATTTTTTATGAAACAGACTGCAGCCAAATATCGAAACCTGCTTGGTTTTAGTGAATTAGTTAAAGTGTTTGTCATTCTAGATTGTTCTATATTCTATATTATTAGAGTTAGATGTTAAGTTTTCCTAAAAACCTGATGAAAGCCTGAAAGTTAACCAGTTTACTAAAAGGACTCAGCTATTTAGAGTGTTCCCACAAAACAAAGGCTGCATGCTGCCAATATATATCTAAACACAGAGCAACACCGCAGGAGGTGATGAGTGTGAGCACAAAGACTCTAATGAGGTAAGCAGAAGTGACAAGTGTCAGACGGGAGGCTTTAAATTAGCTAATGAGGGATGCTAGCTGGCGTGCAGAGCCTGACCCTGGTGCACAAACATATACCAAACTCCTCCGCCGGCTGCTGTTTCTCCTCCGCTCACACACACTCGACACACTGTGGTGGGAGGATTCAATTACACACATTTATGCGCTGGTTTAGTACACACAATAAGGAGTCAAAAGAAACTGGAAATAATTGTTTTTTCTCCCGAAGACTCTTCATAGTTTTATGACAAGAAAGATGAGATGAAAGAAAAAGTGCAGCAAGGATGTAGATTGATTTTGAATTCTTTGAGCGGTGAAAAAAAAATGTGTTCAAGAAACGGCAAAGGAACAATCAGAGGAGCCTGATGAGAGGAGGCAGGAAGGGTTCACAGAGTCAGTACCTTGGTTGTCTAGCGTGTTATGAGCCAGGCTGAGGGAGTGAATCACAGAGGCTGGGTTCTCCGATAGCGCCGACGCCATCTTCTGAGGGAAATCCCTGGAGAGGACAAGAGAAAGAAGTTGGTTTCTCTGGAAAACTGTAATTCTTTACCGGTACTGATTTCATCTGCCAAGGCTGCTGTCCTGACATCACTCTATTACACCCACCGGTTCAAAAGCTCTTTTTATTTAAACCAATGCTTTTGTTGCCGCATTAGTGAGCACCGACTCTAAATCAGAGAAAACTGCACCAAGACCCAGGCAGAAGCAAAACGCACATTTCCTCATTTAAAACAGTTTCACTCAACAAGTTCCCTTCCAATTTCTGGATTCTGCTGTTCACACTGCCCACCTGCCGAGAATCATTACCCACCTTTCTCACAGTTTCACTAACCACAAACAGCAGACGCCATTGTTAAAAGAGCTAGTAGATAAAAAGCTCTGATCCAAAACCTACAGACCCACAAAGCTCACTGGTGAGCACCACAGCTTCAAAAAATGAGAGAAAAAAGAATATTGAACCTGCATTTGTCTCCTGGCCAAAGACTCGACTCAGAATGAATGCTAATGTTGGGCCACGTCTGCTGTTTGCCAACGTTTCTGAACGGATTGTTAAACCACAACCGCCATAACAAATCAATTACACAATAAAAGCTTTAAAAAATCCTTCCAGGCATGTCGAAATGCATAAACACTCTGCTTTCAACATCGTTTTGTGCCAGATGTAGTTTTATGTTAAATTCAATAAGTTTGCGATGAAAATGCTAATGCGCTACATCACTAAAAAGTCTGTTATCTGCGTTTCTTTTCAGTCTTCTTATGTCAGAGTGCAGATGAGTGTCTCTCCACACACGACGCAAAGGAACCATCTAAACACGTGTTTAAAAAAGGTCAAAGAGGCGTTCAGAGCTAACGTTAGCTTAAAAGATTAAATCGACTCCATCTGACACCATTTTCTTTGTTATAAATCACAGGATTCATCCCCTGAACCGTATGCGAACGCAGAATGTGTGCTCACACAGAAAGGAGCAGAATGTTGTAGAACAAAGCTGGAATTCAGACACACTGCTTCAGTTCCTCTGCTTTTATTCCTAAACTGAAACCAACATGAACAGCCCTATTGGTGTGTGTGTGTGTGTGTGTGTGTGTGTGTGTGTGTGTGTGTGTGTGTGTGTGTGTGTGTGTGTGTGTGTGTGATCTCTGATCTTACACATCAAATGTGCATCAGATGAAGGAAATTTAGATTGAAAATAAACCACAAGACATGACTGAGATTGACGGTGTTGCTTCAGAAACAGCTGTGGCCCACCCATAGGGGGCGCCGCCCCACCAGTCTCACAGGAAGAGGAAGAAGAAGATAGGAGTCACAAAATATCTTTAAAACATCTTGAAAATTAAACTAAACAATCTATGCACCATAATGGTGTGTATAATCTGCATTTAGGTGTAGTTTTAAAATGTTCTCCTACTCTTGACCAAAAGGTTGTGTGATGTATTTCCTGTTTCTTTGGGTTCCAAAAGTCTTTACCTACACTATAGCTGGCATAGAAAAACACTGGACAACCTTCTCTACCGCCTGAGCTACTGCTGCCCAACAGCTGATCTGGACTTGTCAAAAGACAAGTGTTTAGTAAAAATGTAAAAGATCTAAACTTTATTTATTATTAAAAGCTTGATACTTGACTCTGATATCTGACCCCTCAAAGATGCGACACCTAGCAGGCCCATCGATTACTTGAGACTTGACCTCCAAGACTCGGGAACTAAAATTGGATTAACCACCTAAACCCGTGACCCGAGACTTGACTTCCACTTGTCCTTAAAATGATTTGAAGCTTTATTTAACCTCTGAAGACTTGGGCCTCAACAACCTGGGACTATCGCTCCTCAAAGATTTTGTCTTGAATTGGACTTTCCCAGAAAACGTTACGTGGACCGTTCCCAACAAAGACCTCTGACCAAGCAGGAATATCATACAAGCTGAAAATCAAACAAACTCATGTACATGAAAGGTGCTGGTGTATGACTTTATAAATCAATCAGTGTTTGCTTATGTTACAAAACTATTTAAATATAAGCTTTTATCTTGGAGGCAGTGCGTGTTTTTGGTCCACTGCTGCTGCTGCTGCAAAAAAAAAAAAAAAAAACGCTACCCAGAAATGATAAAAATGCCATCATTATGAGGCACTAAATCATCTCCCCCTGAGGCAGAACGTTTGTCTCTGTTAGTGAAAAATAAGAGAAATATTTTAACAATTCATAAACAGAAGGCGAAAGGACTTTGACAGGTTTAGGAGGTTTTACTTCTGTTTCTGAGGATGCACCACAGAGCAGCTATCGACAGACATCGGGGAGATATTATTGGAAGGAAGAACGAGGCTTAAGAGAGGCAAGAGATGAGGGAAAAGGAGAAGAGACAGAATTGAAAAGGTCAAGACCGCAAAGGAAGGGAGGAGAGTGGGAGGGAGAGTGGGAGGGAGGGAGGGAGGGAGGGAGGGGGAAAGTGGAAAAGTGAGCTGAGCTGAGGTGAAAAGGTGAGACGAGTGGAAGTGATGATACTAAAAAAAAAAGAAGGAAGACAAAAAGGGACGTAAGAGGAGAGGTGAGGGAGGTAAAGGTGAAAGGGAGGAAATTAAATTCAGCTTGAAGCTGAAGAATGTTCAGGAAAGTGGAAACCTACGGTTTAAGTCCGGCGTTCTCCAGCGTGAGCTCCTCCAAGCTGTTGGACTTGCTGATAGTGTGAAGAACCTGGTCCACCACCTCCGACCCCTGGTGGAGGTAAAAACAAACAAACAAACAAACATAAACCTGACTGCAGGTGTCCGGTCTGATGAAAGGACACATGAAGAATAAACTTTTTAAATGTAAGAAAGTTTTTTTATTAGAATTTTATTTCCAGACATTTTTTTCATTAAATCGTTAAAGGTTTTGTCTAATAGGAATTCAAAAAATGTTGAGAACGAAAAACAATTTATTTTGTCAAATTCCACCGTCTTCTCAGTAAATTACTTTTTAAATTAGTTTATTTATTTGTTGTCTGGAAAATACTTCAAGTTACTAGACTCAGTTTAAATGTTTTCACACACAAAATTGAAATCATTAAAAACCAACAGGTATCTGATATTTAGTTGTTTGTTTTTAATTCCCATTAGAACGCTGCCTCCTAGAATAAAGCAGTAATAAAGAGAACAATAGCTGTTTTATCGCTGGAACTGGATTGTTGTATAAAAGAGGTTCACTGCTTTGTTTAGAATATGTCCTTTAATGTGAGATTCCACTAATAATTGTGCATTTAGAAGAAAGCGATGAGTCATGTTTTGAATAGATCTGCAGCTCTTTTAGCTGTTCATCTTCCCTTGCGTGTTTTTTCTTCTAAACGGTTCTCAGAAAGCTTGTAGCTTCATATAATTCACACACAGTTATTCGTTTTCTCATCTCCAAGCTGTGGCAGGAAGCTTTGAGAATGACACAAACAATAACAGTTAAGAGTATTAATATTTGAAGTATTTCAGTGTTTTAAATTTCAACTCTAGGGTGTTATTGTAGTCTATAACCAAAGTGTATTTCTGTTGTTATGATTTTCTAAAATATTTATTTTCATGCAGAAAATCAGAGAAAGCGCCACAAGCTACCAGCATGACGGCCTTGCATGAAAGCAGGTAATCGCACGGGTGAGCTACCCCTGAAGTCTTTCTTAGCTTCTTGGGTTAGCTAAGTTAGCTAGCTGGCTTCATTGGTTCATTCGGTTCCAAGCCCCACCCTCAGCTCCACATGTTTTCCCATTTTTTAAATGTCTGAGCGTGATGAGTAGCCTGGCCTGCCAGACTCATCCTCTGTTTAATTCTGCACAGAGAAAGAGTCTGGTAACTCTTGGCAAAGAGCACCATGAGAGGCGGGACTAGCCAGCTCAAAAATAACCAATCAGAAAAAGGACGGAAATCCCGACTGTACCGCACGACGCTGTAGTTTTCTAGTTGTAGTAAAAAAAACAAAAATAAAAAATGGCATCTGGCAATGGTGAAAATATTTTTTTTAAGAAGAAATACTTTTAGCGCATCTACTTGTGGTTTTAAAGACATTTGAGTCATTTAGAACAGAGGAAAGAGCCGTGGCGAACTCTGCCGCTTTCTTCGTTGTTTATGAGAAACTGAGCGTCGCCGTGTGTGACGTCAGCGACGCTGCAGATTTTTAGCTGTAGTAAAAACGAAGTCTGACGACAGCACGAAGAAGAAAGGCTTTTAGCTCTTCTACTTGTTGTGTCCAAGTCATCTACACCAGAGGAAAGAGCCGCAGGGAACCCCGCTTCAGTCGTCATGTTCAACAAACTCAGCGCTGATTGGCTCGGTTAGAATTCTCACGGGGTGGGGTTTTTTGAATAGGAGAGTTCCCAGACTCGTTCTCTGTGCAGAATTAAACAGAGGAGGAGTCTGGCAGGCTAGGCTTCGTGATGAGACCTTTGTATCGCGTCATACCCCTGTCAAAACCCGTGCACGCGCATTGGGTCCACAGCGCGCGTGTGAACGGGACTCGCGAGCGAAAATATACATGGCAGCGTGCGTGTGAACGGGACTCGCGAGCGGAAATATACATGGCGAGAGGTCATTTGTGCACTGAGAGGGAGCAAACTGTGTCTGTGAGCGCACAAGGATGTGCACAAGTGACAAACCTGCGTGCGCGCGTGGTCAACGAGCACACGGCAGAGGAAAACGTGCGCGCGCGGCAGCCTCTGTGCGCGCTCGGCAGCCTCTCTGCGCGCTCGGTTTCTGACTCCTGCTCGCTCGGCTGTAAGGGTTTTGGCTCTCTGGAGGCGTGGCCTGTGGCAGATCTTCTCTGTCCTCTGATTGGTTAGTGTACCCCGCACTTTACCCTCTACCTATCTATATAAAAAAGTCTGCTAGTCAAGTAGTCGCTGGCATAGCTCAGTTGGAAGAGCGGGTGACTCTCGCCCCGGAGGTTCCAGGTTCGAGGCTGGGCAAGGAAAATGCAGTAGATGTCATGTTAATTTTTCTTAATTTCAGGTATTTTACAGTTGTGACCGTTCAACTGTCATTAAACGTCCGAATGTTTGCTGGGCAGTGTTTTAAAAAGTGCACATAAGCTAGATGGTTTTAACCATATAAAATTACATTTTTTGTGATACTGGAAAAATACATACTGAAATAAAACTACTGATTGAAAACTTTATGACTGTGGTTGTACAATATATGACTCACTAATACACTGCAAACTCCTTTAGAGTGGGGCTTCCAGAGAGAGAGAGAGAGAGAGAGAGAGAGAGAGAGAGACAGAGAGAGAGACAGAGAGAGAAAAGTTCTTGCCTCATTAATGAATTGTTTATTTTTTTTCAGTATTTAATTGACAAATTATCCTTTCAAATAATTAATTGATGAGTTACATAATTGTCCATTTAGAATTGTTGAATGGACTGAGTCAAGTTTGGTGCACTTTATATATTTCAAAACATGTTTTTTTTTTATTTTAATGATGCATATAAATAATTTAAATGTTAATTTAATGAAATATTTCTATTTTTTCATTACCTCACCCTTGTTTTGACAAAAACGGGACCTTGCTGGATAATATCATGGAGAAACTATTTGTTCACAGTACATGGCTCAGTGAGGATCTGTGTAAAGGAGGAGATACTCAGAAATCTGTCTGCAGATTGTTACAACCCAGACTGGAAGTGGTGGGCTGTAATAAGAAAGGAGACCAAACAGAGGAGTGGGGGTTCAACAACTGATTTATTTAACAAAAGTAAGGATTTACTAAAGCAAGTTAGTGAACAGAAAATGGCCAGTGAGGACTCTCCACCACACAGGAGAGACCCAGTGAAAGCAGAAAAACAGTAGGCTTTGTAGGCAGCACCACACCCTGAGCCCAGGTGCCTCCAAGGCTGCTTAACCAGCTGCCTACAACAGAAGAAAAACACAATTAAACACAAATGAAAACCCAATGAGACGGTGGGGGCATCACAACACGTTCAGGACTACCCAAACACCAGTAATTCTTGACTGCACTGATCTGAGGTGTCAATGGCCATATTCCCCTCTCTTCCAGAGTCATATATTTTCCTCAAGTTCAACTGCACTCTGAAGAGGCTCATTTGGATTGTGCCACATAGGCCAGTGACCTTTGTCTCAGCACTGTATGCTGGAACTATCAGCGACCAACCTGGGAATCTGGTGTGTTGAAAATGCTACAACTAGAGATGGTCATCTTGGTAGACAGGGGTTTCTGCATTGATGACATTGTGCCCTGCAAAGTGTACAGGCCAGCTTTCCTTTCTGGCAAACCTCAAATGTCTGCATGTAAAGTTATAGAAACAGAAGCCATAACATCTCTGAGTGCATGTGGACCGCTCCATTCATCTGGTCCAAGAACACAAGCATTTTGATTGTTATTCCCCTCCTTGCATTTGTAAACAATCAGCTATATGCTGTGGTTTTTCTCCTTACCAACTTTTAAAATAGCCCACTAGTGAAGGCCTGGGCAAAGAAGCCTGATGTCTGAGAACCTCAACATATGTACGGCAACCATACTGTATATTTACACACTTTCATAAAGAAACTGCATATCAAGCTTTCATTCAGATGACCTTCAACAGTGCTGCACCCTGCTGAGGGACATCCGAGTAAAACCTTGAGATGGCCATTTTCTGTTCACTAACTTGCTTTAGTAAATCCTTACTTTTGTTAAATAAATCAGTTGTTGAACCCCCACTCCTCTGTTTGGTCTCCTTTCTTATTACAGCCCGCCACTTCCAGTCTGGGTTGTAACAATCTGCAGACAGATTTCTGAGTATCTCCTCCTTTACACAGATCCTCACTGAGCCATGTACTGTGAACAAATAGTTTCTCCATGATATTATCCAGCAAGGTCCCGTTTTTGTCAAAACAAGGGTGAGGTAATGAAAAAATAGAAATATTTCATTAAATTAACATTTAAATTATTTATATGCATCATTAAAATAAAATAAAAAACATGTTTTGAAATATATAAAGTGCACCAAACTTGACTCAGTCCATTCAACAATTCTAAATGGACAATTATGTAACTCATCAATTAATTATTTGAAAGGATAATTTGTCAATTAAATACTGAAAAAAATAAACAATTCATTAATGAGGCAAGAACTTTTCTCTCTCTGTCTCTCTCTCTCTCTCTCTCTCTCTCTGGAAGCCCCACTCTAAGGGAGTTTGCAGTGTATTAGTGAGTCATATATTGTACAACCACAGTCATAAAGTTTTCAATCAGTAGTTTTATTTCAGTATGTATTTTTCCAGTATCACAAAAAATGTAATTTTATATGGTTAAAACCATCTAGCTTACGTGCACTTTTTAAAACACTGCCCAGCAAACATTCGGACGTTTAATGACAGTTGAACGGTCACAACTGTAAAATACCTGAAATTAAGAAAAATTAACATGACATCTACTGCATTTTCCTTGCCCGGCCTCGAACCTGGGACCTCCAAGGCGAGAGTCACCCGCTCTTCCAACTGAGCTATGCCAGCGACTACTTGACTAGCAGACTTTTTTATATAGATAGGTAGAGGGTAAAGTGCGGGGTACACTAACCAATCAGAGGACAGAGAAGATCTGCCACAGGCCACGCCTCCAGAGTGCCAAAACCCTTACAGCCGAGCGAGCAGGAGTCAGAAACCGAGCGCGCAGAGAGGCTGCCGAGCGCGCACAGAGGCTGCCGCGCGCGCACGTTTTCCTCTGCCGTGTGCTCGTTGACCACGCGCGCACGCAGGTTTGTCACTTGTGCACATCCTTGTGCGCTCACAGACACAGTTTGCTCCCTCTCAGTGCACAAATGACCTCTCGCCATGTATATTTCCGCTCACGAGTCCCGTTCACACGCGCGCTGCGGACCCAATGCGCGTGCACGGGTTGTGGCACGCTTTAAACGCCATACCTTTGACACAGCCAAAATGGCAGAGGTGGGAGCCTCTGATTCGGCTTCAAACCTGCCCCCCACAACGCAATGAGCGGGGTATGTCCATCTTTTTTATATGTCGATGGTCAGGACCAGAATCAGTCACTCTCAAAACTGTTGGCCATAGCTGTTCTACCATCTGCCTTTATTCACATTAACAGTAAAAATTCCACAACAAAAATATGCAGAGTTCATGATTTTTGCTAAAAAGTAGGAACCTGCAACTTTTAGACCTCGATGTGTAAATGCTTTTATGTAACACAGTGTTCACTCAGCTGTGGGTTTGATCAGTCCTAGAGTGCATTTTTATAAGTAGTGATCATCACTGAAATGCACAATTTATCATTTTAGGACAAGATATGATTGGATTAAACATTAGCATTACTTCTCCCAATAAACAGACGTGTAGAAGGTGTGAGAAAGAGGGCAACATGGTTTGCAAGAGCAGGCATTTAAAAACACAGAATCAATATTTAAATAGGGATTACTATGCGCATGTCTTTGCAGTACAGCTTGGTGAACCAGGTGTTGTAAGCAATGGATGTCACGATCACTGCCAAGTCCCTGCAAGAAAAACATACACACACACACACACACACACACACACACACACACACACACACACACACACACACACACACACACACACACACACACACACACACACACACACACACACACACACACACACACACACACACACACACACACACACACACACACACACATCAAAAAACATTCTAATGTTTCAATTAGCAAACACCATCTGCTCCATAACATTTCATGCTACTAATCTATAAATTTACATTATCTTAGGCCAAAACTTCTACTTTGCTCTCTGTTCAGTAGCAAGTACTTTATCATTTTGTGACAGGAAGCAGGGCAGCTTTCCAACAGATGACTGATACTGCAGCCTCACAGTGGAGGAGAGCAGGATGAGGGGAAAAACCAGAGAAAGATGTGAGAGATTGATGGTTGGGTCAGTGGATTATTCAATAAAACCACACTTTGATTCCAGTTACAGACCTCAAACCTAGCTAGATCCTGTGCTGTGGACACAGATGAAGCCTGCAGATTTGTGTGTTTGGGAGGGCGTGCGGCTGCATGCGCTGAAGTGAGGACAGTCCCAACGCTACCTCCCCACCTAGTGGACACTTATGTTGTGTAATGTCTGAAGTCTGTTGCATTTCTGTCTGAGGTGTTTTTTTTTTTTTGTTTGTTTGTTTGTTTTTTTGCATAGCAAAGCTGCCCTCTCTGTGGAGGGTAACTCCTGAAGAGCCTTTTCCCCCTCCCCCTGACCCTATCCTCATATAAACCCTCTTGATCTATTAAGGTAGCACGGCTCAGGTTGCAAATGACCACAGTCACCAGTTCTTGTCATGTGTCTATGTATGTATGTATGCATGTCTGATCTCAGAATTGTGTGTACTGAAACTCTAATCTCCCTCTGGGATTAATGAAGTATTTTTGAATTGAATTGACAAAGAGGGGAGAGGGAGAGTTTCAGAGTCCTCCGAGGTCCAACCAAAGCCATACCACTCCTACAGCTGCAATACATCATCGGACAAACAAGCAGCAACGAACAGCGAGGCTGAGAAAAGGAATAAGCAGAGAGGAGGAAAGAGGCTCATCTAGCCCATGAGGGTCCTGTTGCCAGTAAGAACCGCATTTAGAGCATTACAGCTGGTGTCTGTGGAGTAAAATGGCCACAGGCTGTGTTTCTGTGTCATTACTAAAGTCAGCCATCAGGCCGGTCCATTGTGACTAACGCAGCTGAGCCCAAGTGCGAACAGAAGATGAACATGTCAAGATTCATCATCCGAGTGGTTTAGTGACAGGAGAACATGTAAGTGACCTGGCTGCTGGTTTACTCAGTGTGAAACAGTCTGTGTCAGCCTGTAGTATGCACCAATAACACACTACTAACTAAAATGTTGTCTTAGTGGTCTCCTTTCATGCATCTCAGACAGTACACCACACCACTTCACGAGGCAGCAAGGCAAAAGTTTTGCAATGAACCATTATAACACGGATGCCAGACTACTCCTAACACCACTGAACCAGAAGCCCTTTGCAGGAAAGAACATGCAAACAAGTTCTTGCAGGAGAGAAAAACTCTGCTGGCCATAGATTTTTGACATAGACCAAATCATCTATCATCTTCTCGACTGTAACTTTTCGTTATGGCAGAAACATTAATGATGGTTAAATATACGATCTTAACAAAGATCTTTGCATTTATTTCCACTTCCGTCTGCATGCAGTTTTTAGAAGTGTTCGTTCACAGAAATATAATGAATCATCTCAAATTTTGGGAGACAGGCTTCAGTGCTGCCAGCACTACTAATACAAGGCACTTCTGCAACTTCTGGACCGCTCTCCTGATCTCCTGACCGCTCTGAACTTGAGACAGTTGTCCACACCTTCATCTCCTCATGCTTAGACTACTGTAACTCTCTTTCCACGTGTCTGAGCAGAACCTCCCTGAACCGTCTACAGGTGGTTCAGAACGCCTGTGCTCGGCTTCTGACCAAGTCCTCCAAATACACCCACATCACCCCGCTTCTCCTCCAGCTTCACTGGCTGCCAGTCAACTTCAGGGTTCATTTCAAGATCCTGGTTCTGGTCTATAGGACCTTACATGGACAAGCACCATCTTACATCGGTCATCTTCTTAGTCCCTACACCCCCAGCAGGTCCCTGAGGTCCAGTGACCAAAGCCTACTGGTTGTGCAGCACCAGGCTAAAGACCAAAGGTGACAGATCATTTGCTGCTGTGGCCCCCAGACTCTGGACCTCTCTCCCCCTGAGCCTGAGATCAGTGGACTCAGTGGTCTCCTTTAAAAAGCAGCTGAAGACTCACTTGTTCAAGCTGGCTTTTGTATGACCTTCTTCACCTCTCTCTCTTTATTCTGCTCTCCCCACCTATTCCACCTTCCTCAGGATCCACTGATTTCCCTTTTTCCTATTCACTCTCTCTCTTTCTTAACATTTTTTATCACAATTGTCTATTTTTTGCTCATTTTAAATATATTTTTAAACATTTTCTAAATGCTTTTTTATATTTTTACATTTTTTGCTTCTGTGAAGCGCCTCGTGATTTTTATCTTGAGAGGCGCTATAAAAATGATATTTTCTTCTTCTTCTTCTTCTGATGTCTCACAAAGTCACGCTTTACAGCACAGGTGTCAAACTCTGGTCCTCGAGAGCCGCTATCCGACATGTTTTAGTGTTTTTTTTCTGTTTCAACACACCTGATTTCAATCAGCAGGCAATCGGCTTCTGAAGAGCTCGATGAGCTGCTGCACAGGTGATTCAACCGTGCTGGAACAGGGAAACAACAAAAAGATGCAGGATACCTGGCCTGGCCTGCCAGACTCATCAGCTGTTTAATTCTACACAGAAGAACTAGTCTGGTTACTCACAGGCAGAGAGGCGCATGAGGGGCGGGACTAGCCAGCTCTAAAATAACCAATCAGAAAAAAGGCAGAAACGTCGACTGTACAGCTGTAGTTTTTTAGCTGTAGTCAAAAATGGCGTCTGGCAACAGCGCAAACATCTTTCTTTAGAAAATGGCTTTTAGCACTTCTACTTGTGGTTTTAAAGACGTGTTCAAGTCATTTAGAACAGAGGAAAGAGCCGCAGCGAACTCTGCTTCAGTCGCCGTATTAATGAGAAACTCAGCAATGGGGTGTGTGATGTGCGCTGCTCAGCGCTGATTGGCTCGGTTAGAATTCTCAGGGAGTGTGGTTATTTAAATAGGAGAGTTCCCAGACCCAATGCTTCCCATAGGGGGCCTAAGTCATCTAAGCCATCTACTTCCGGACCACGGGTCCCCAGAACAACGAAAAAAATGAACACAAGTCAACGGGGTAACAACGTTCTTCTCTAATTCCGCTTATGTTCCATGGATTTCACACATGATGTCCATGATTTTTAAAGAAGCTTTTTGATACCAAGAACATGTTTATATTCAAACTGGGGAAACTATTTTAGGTTTTGTGTGAAAATAAGTCCAGTGCTACAAATGCGCTTCACAAAAGTGACGTCATCGGACCAGACACGGAGAAAAACAAAGGGAAAATGGCTGTAAGTTCAGCAAACTTTACACCCATCCCACAGGAGGAAAGAACCGCCTTACATCTGGCCATGTGGTAAGTAGCAGCTACGCTAGGGAAGAGGGGATTATGAGGTGATGTCATATTTGCGACGTGCTGATGTAGTCATGCTAATTACGAATTTTTACAAGCTGATAAATCACAAAGTACGTGACAGGCGTGGTCGAAACACCCATCATTACTTTTCATTTAAATTGAAGTACAACATAAGTGTGATCCAGGGCATAAGGCAAAGCGGGTTAGTAAATAGCTCTTTTAGCCCCATTGACTTGAATTCATTTTTTGTTCTTCCGGGGACCCATGAGCCGACCGGAAAGGGAGGAGACTTAGGCTTTCTATAAGGAGGCATGGGGCTGAATGGTCAGGCTACAGGATACCGGCCCTCGAGGACTGGAGTTTGACACCCCTGCTTTACGGCAATCTGTGTCTACACCTCAGAACAGATGAGCTACTGACCCTTTGCACGTGACATCACGCCACCCCTTAGCCTTTATGGATGGCAGGAAGGCTTTTTACGCAGGTTGAAACATCATTGAAGCTATAAAACATGCCAGTTTTGATTTCACAGTGAAACGGTAAAAGTTTTCTGCACAAGTCTGCACAGACAAGGGTGTAAACTCTGTCTTTTTTTAAATAACTTTGATGGAGACCAAAAACAGGAAGCAGGAATGTACCAGCAGTGTTAATTCAATACTTTCCTTTTTTACTTTTAAGTACATTTACGTCCACCACTTCCTGTAATAAGCACACACTTTCAAAAGAAAACTGGGATTTTCCCAAACGTTTAATACATGCTAAAATGTTCATATTGAAACACTTTTGACACCCTGTAGTTATTCAACTGGGTTATTAAACAAGGGCTATCTGGTCCACTCTTCCATATCTGAGGCATTTGGCCAGAAAATGGCTGGAATGGCCCCTCAAATAGAGATGTTGGAATGCTTTGGTGTCCCAAGGAAGAGCTGGAGAGTGTGGCCAAGGATAAAGACATCACCTGCAGTACACGACTATGGATCAGAAGTGGATTTTGAATGGAAGTTTGGATGGTTGGTGAACAAGGATTGAGGGTATCAGACTTGTGACTAGCATGGGCAGTCTTGTGTAAAAATCTAAAATGTTTCTTTTTGCTGTAGGTGGATACACAAATTCAAATGTTCAGGGACATGAATTGAAACTTCTTTAGTAGATATTCCTCAGTCTTGTGTGGGTCAGCATGACCTGCAAAGTTAATTCTGAAAACCCGGTGGCCTCCAGAACCTGTACCAACATCACTGCGCGTGCTCCCTAACATTTATAAGACAGAAATCAAGTGTAAATTAGCACGAGCGTTCGACATCCACTGCAGCCATGAATGCTCCAGTAATTAAAAAGTGAAATCTACATTTTGATGCGACCTGGGGTGGTTTTGAAGGAAAGATGCTGAAACTCGTGAAAATTAAGAACTCT